TTTTAAGACATTAAATTTGAACTACAGGTTGTCCCAGCTTCCAAACACCAAGAACGACCCAACTTCCCATCACCATGAACACAGTACCTCTCTTTAAAAAGGACATAGAAAATATTTGTGAACATTCTTCAATATCTTCATGCAGAAAACACTATTCGCTTCTGAGAAAGACCATTCCTTACCCTGCTCTGTACCGTGCGCGGGTACAACTAGACATTCCCGCCAATAGCTAATTGCCACGCCTGAACGCGGCCTCCACTTTTATCTCTGAGGTCACTGAGCATTCGTCTTTGCAAAGCATTGGACTTTCAGCCGAGCCACGCTTTGGTGAGCTAGCAGAAGGGACGGCGGGGCGTAATTCTTCTAGTAATATACAATTAAACTGTGATAAATTTACTGCTTCTCGATTTTCTCTCCATTCTGTAGACTGAGGTGGTGGAGGCAGGGGCAGCAGGGGTCATGCAGCAATATCGCGTGCTCGGTGGGCGGTGGCCCATCGACGAATCGGCAGTCGATTCCTCTCTGCGATGTTATCGCCTCCGTTACTCGTGTAAGGAATCCGCCCCGTGCCAGCGCGTGGAAGCGACGTCCCTCACAACGATGTTCCCCGCCCATCCACGCTCCACACCCTCCCCCTCCTGCGGAACGCCCGCTCTCTGAAATCTCTCAGGTGCTGGCTGAAACAACACGAGGATTTGCGTGTCATGTTTGCTCTTGATCTACCTGGCGGTGCGTGCAGTTATGGAGGAGAAAATATTTTCTGTTTGTAGATTGATCCACCGGCAGCTACTTCCGCAACGTCTGTTTGCGTTTGCGTTTACGAAAAACTATGTGAAAGTTCTCTATTTGGTAGTTAAGAGAGGTATTTCGTTTGTTAATGAAGGGTAGTTGCAAGGACTTCACGCGATGTTGATTAAATCCTGGAGATTCAGCATTCGACGTTTGTAGATACTGTTTATAACTGACGATTTCTTTCTTTTTTGCCTAATGGATCAGGAAGCACTGTTTTGATAAATATTATGCGGATTAGACTTCGAATTTTTATCCAACAGTGCTCAAAGAATTTTTCTCTTTCGGTATTGATCTCTCTTTTGTTTTTGATTTATTAATAAGTGAGCGGACCCAGAGATATTTAACAACAAATCTCGTCAATTTGCATTTCCTAACTGCTGTCGATACAATTTTAAGAGAAATGGAATTCTAAACTCTTCTACGAAACATTTTCTTTACTTAAATCTCTTGCTACTATATATCATAAAATATAACATTGTGATGCTTCGACATCGAACTCTCAGGTGGAATATTTTATTTTAACGAACTGCCTGTTTCGCTTCAGTTCCCATGTCCTTACCATATCGATTCCTCTGACAAATCGGATTACTTTGTTCTAGTGAGTAGTAGCCTACTCTAAAAATGTATTCATCACATGGTTCTATGCATCCTTCCAATGTATTGGGCTCCAAAAGTTTGGTAGTCATTTTATTTTGAAGGTTCAATATATTAATGCTGTCGTTTGGAGGTTGTGGAGCTTTCCAGTTGTTTTCAAATCATCCTCAAGTTCAGGATACAATTTTCTGATCTATTTGTATCATGTTTTTGTCTTTAAGTCTATAACCAGCTATTGATGCCAGAAAAAGCAGCATTTTGTAGTCTATTACAATTTTTTAATCGTGGTCAAATTTTCACTTGCATATAGACCTGTTGGGATGCTTTTAATTTTTAAAATTAACGTCCTCGTCCTTTCTCACTTACTTTTTTAGGTTTGTATGATCCATACCACTTAGTGTTTTAATTTTCGTATAGATCACACGAAAATTGGTAAAATTATTATTTCATTTTGATATGACATTCTTTAAAAGTTGCAAACTCACCACAAAGGCAGTTCAAGTACAAACCAATAAGAACACAAATGCTAATATAATTGTAATAATATAATTAATGGTATCAATTGTGATCAAATACTTGTGGAGCTTTTCAGTTGTGTTTCAACCATCCTCAAGTTTAGGAAATGATATGCTGCTTTCATTCGCAACAATTTAAATAGTGATAAGTCTATAAATATGGATTGTGTAATATTTCATACCGACGTAGATGACCGAGATGGCTAAGAACGTGTACCCACCAAGCACTTCGATAGAAAGGGTCACGGTTTGGTGTCCGACCTTTCGCATGGTCGTTTGTCCCTTGCCTCTCATGTATGTATTGTCGCGGAGGGCTTCGAGGAGTTGTACTTACTCCTGATCAGAGGAGCCTGCAAATATATTTGGTGTCTAGTGTATTGGTCGACAATGCGATCCATCAAGACGTCAAGGGTAACCAGCTGTCGGTTGGAAAAAGCTCTACCAAAAAAATTCGTAGCTTCGTTATTTAAACTTTAAAGAAACTTTATTCTCCGTTTACATTCCAAGTCACAAATTTCTGTTGAAATGATGGGCTTGTACTATCGTTGGGCGTGCTCATTAGTCGATACTCCAGAGCACTCAGCAATCTTGACTCTCGTATCAAGCTCCTTCATTATCAACGTCCTTCCACACAACACTCATTTGGTGACTTTCTTAACCTTGGGATTTATGTGTCCGCCTCACGACTGGATATTTTTTACACGTCGCGGTGCGTCAGTAATTTTCGTCATATCGTGCATCGTCGCCATGCATGTGTTTTTCATCTATGTTATAATACATTGGATATCTATGACTGATCATGAGATCTCATTCGTTCTACAGTTTATCACTTTAAAAAATCGCCGCTTCTTTAGAACTCAAAGGCATTATATTAATGCAAATGACGGAGAAGTCGCTCAAGAGAAAGCATACACGCCCCCAGTCGTTCATGGTTAGAGACTCTCTCTAAATATGTAATTTAACCTAGATGATTGGAAGGGAAGAAAGTTGACAAAATGGGAGAAATTGACAGCGCAATAATTATATGTAATTGACTTGAAAAGCTTCACGAGGACAGTTATAATTTCAATACATAATGCAACTCATTCTACGACCATTCGTTTTTATTTGTATGCTGTTCCACCAAATATACATAATTAATTCTGAGTCAATATTTTGCCGGAAATGTAAGTAGTGCGAGATTATATGGTTAAGATTTCACTTACTACAGATGTATAAATCATGTGCTACAGTGATCTTCATCCCTTTGAAGACAGTTATTTGATGTTTTAGTACATTGACCTGAACGATGTCGTTCTCTCCTACCATTTAACTTTAAAGGAACAACTGTTAGATTTACTCCTAATACCGGCGTTTGTACTCCTTACTTCATGTTTCACTTTTTTCTTTCGTGTGTTTCCATTGGCCTCCCTTTCAACACATCACAACATCCATGAGTTGTGGACAACAATGAAAACGTTATATCATAGATTAAGTGCTCATGAAGATAGCGAAATCCATTAATGGTTCTGGAGTTTTTCGAAAAAGACACAACTGCATTACAATAATGATAGCGCTTTCAGTAATACATTAAATCATTATCTTTTCGAATGTTCTTTGAAAGAGTTTGTTTAGAGATTTTATTGTTAAAATTCAGGATTCATATTGCAAAACTATTTAGTGATTTTGCTTTCCAAAATACTTTACTCTATTTTGAATTTGGAGTCTTGTTCTGCAACCAGCACATCATAAGTGGGTGGACAGTTTCAACAACAACAACATCAATTTATATTTCGCCAACTTATCCTGAGATTACTAATAGCACTCACAACAGCAACGACCGCCGTAATTACAGAGATTGAGAGTGATGTCACTAGACGACTTTAAAAGTATCATTGTAATAATGAATGAAAAACTTGTTATTACCTCTGTGAGAACAAAATTGCTAGTCGAAACCTCAAGGCGGCAAAAAACTTTGTCGTGCAATCAAAATCATTAAAACTTAAGTGGTCCAGATGAGATAGAGTTCGAATCACATTCCACAATACCAGCTATCAAATGTAAAAAAAGACGAATTCGTGGTAGACATTGGATAAAATTAAGCATTAACCAATAATATTTGAAGAAGAATATTCTCCACCCAGCAGAATTTCACAAATTGCTAATAGATTCATCATTTGAAAACATCTCACCTAAATACCCATTTTCAAGTGTCATCACAATGTTTTCCTATATGATTGTCAGTGTACTCAATTTAATGGCTCTTTTTTTATTTTTTGACAAATCAGAGTGGAATTAGTTGCGTAGAATCCCAAGTGGTACTGGGAAGATAAATTACATCAAATAATTAGCAAAGTTGAGAATTTTTATAAATCGTAATGATACAATTTTTCAGACAAGTCCTTTTTTTCATCATATGTTTGAAGTAGACTCTAACAATAAACTCAAGTACGTCACAAAATAGTCGGGATATTACGTTGTATATTTGTAATATTACGTCGGAATCGTGTCGGAGAATGTTATGTTGGGAGTGAGATGTTTCCAGCCGAGGTGACGTTAGGAGCGACTACTGGAATTTCGAACGAGTAATATAACATTTTAGCCCTGTCGTAACACGTTCTATTTCATGTTATGTCTCATTTCCTTCCTTTCACTTTAATTTCGTATTGCAATATTTCAAGACGTATGAGTACCAATAAAAAATTCCTCTCCTTGTCTGAGCCACCTACAACCTTCACAACTACAAAACTATTGCAGTGCTCTGAACCATGAATACATTCATGGATTCATGGTCTGAACATTTTAAAAGGAATTGGAAGATTAAGATATGCTTGCTGGTGGTTGTCGAAGAGAGGGATTGTATTCCATGTCAATCAAAGATATAGAAGGTAAATGGTTAATTGAGACCATAAGACAATAAGAAACAAACTGAAAAAGAATGCTTAGACTGTGAGAAAAATGGAATTGCATTTTTAGATTTGTGTAGGAAATATATAGGACTGAGGCCTAAAAACTTATATGCTTTTCATTGGACATATTAATGGAAAGTACATTTTACAGAGAGTTGACATACATGCAGTCAGAGTTATGCCAATGAAAATCTTAAAATTTCCAAATTTATCTTATCTTCAATCGTTCAGGGAGAATTCTTCCGCAGAACAATCTCCCATGATGTTGGTAAATGCAGGAGCTGATGTTTCCGTTTTGAAGAGACAGGAAGATGGAAATGTGTATCTGGGCCTGAGAAGTATGTTGAAGAATCTATAGAAAAAAAAGTGCATGAATGCTTGAGAGGGGAGATAATTTTATAGACGTTTTAGGAGAGAAAGGTAAAAAGAGTGTACTATTCATCGTCACCAAAGAATGGCATAATTCTCTCTGTGAACTTTGCAAAAAAACTGTAATGTAATTAAATTATACAAACTACAAAATACTGTACTATGTAATTAATATTGCTATAAATATTTAGATGTATTTTGTAAATGTGGATTTTTAGTTAAGAATTAAAAATAAATAAGTTATCTAACTTTCTAATCATATAGTGCTGATATATATTGCTTGAATGATTGTAATTTCCTTCTTATTGTTGTAATCAACTGCATTGTTGGCGATGGTCATGTACAAATCCATAGCCATGGTAACGGACATAAGACAAATCATAATTTTGGTATCAAATTTTCAAGTTAATAAGTTGATATGAGATTTCATTACGGTACTCTGTACCGAAAAGTTCCTTCTGACATGCCAAAATTCTTTCCGACCTGCTTTGAACACGGAAACAACCGAAATCAGGCATACGTTCAACAAATTAAAAGTATTACAAATAATGTTTCTCATTAAACCCATTTTAAAACAATAAAGCTTCTATGCGTAAACACAGCATATTAAATATTTTCAGAGCAAGATTTACAATTTAATATAATCACCGAGACTTTTATTATTTAGCACAGACCATCGAAAATATTTAATACAGTATACATTTTTTTTTTAAAGTTCATTATTGAAATTACGAATTAACACATACATACATTCACAATAAAACATTTAATGTTGGTGATAACATCGTGAATTTACAAATAAAATTACCAATTTTTATTAACAGTACGAAATTTTCAAGATTTCGAAATAAATCTTATCTCTTTTTGTCTTAACATTTTTGTCTTAAATAATAGTGAGTCCCAAATGTGATACTCGAGAACCTCGAATTCAAGTGAATGTTCGAAATTCATTTAGAATTTACGAATTTGCAATTAATAAATTCCCGATAGTATATAATCAATCTTCAAAAAATAGAATCCAGATGTTATTGTAATATTTGTATCAACATCTAACCGGAAACAAGCTTTTATTGTACAGACGACATTACAAAATACCAATGCCCTAGTTACTCCGTTAAAGGAAGGATCCATGAAAGCCTGTAGATGACATCACAAATTCCCGCCCCAGTTTTCTTGAGCAACGAAGACGCCGTCGAAGTCGCAGCGAACGCTGTCGTCGTAACGGGGGAGGGGGAGGCGCCGTCGATTCGGCAGGCCCCATTTGCTGCGCTGATCCCATGTCATAATCCTGTGCTGTTCAGATTGCTGCGCCGCCAACGCCTCGCAGCGCCGCGGCATCTCTCGCCGTTCAGCGTCGCCCTGCGCTACCCCGCATTGTCCCGCCCCGCTCCGCCCCACCCAGCGTCTCCCCGCTCTGGGCTGGTCTGCCTCGCCCCGCGCCGCCCATCGCCCCGCGCCGCCCATCGCCCCGCGCCGCCCATCGCCCCGCGCCGTCCATCACCCCGCACCGTCCATCACCCCGCGCCGCCCATCGCCCCGCGTCGCCCATCGCCCCGCGTCGCCCATCGCCCAGCTCCGCTCATCGCCCCGCGCCGCCCATCGCCCCGCGTCGCCCATCGCCCAGCTCCGCCCATCGCCCCGCGCCGCCCACCGCTCCGCGGCGCCCATCGCCCTGCGCCACCTTCGCTACTTACTCTCCTCTTATTGCCCCTCATCGTCCCTTTCCGCTCCATACCGCCCCGTTCGCGCTTCGGTCCGGCCCGACCCTCACCGCCCACACGCCCTGCGCCACCCCACGCGTTCCCTACTGCCCCTTACCGTTCCATCACGCTCTGCTTCCTCCCCCTTTCCCAAACCACCCTACCACGCACCATTTGTCCGCACCACCACGAGCCACCCCGCTCCTCCCCGCTCGCACCGGGCCGCCCCCTCTTTCACGCCGACACCTTTTCTCTTTCGTATTCAAAACAGGGCACCCAAACCCTCCAGCGTCTGGCAGCGACCCGCCTGGAATTCCCTGCCGTTTCCGTGATCGAATCTGCTCGGTATCGAACTGGGCGTGCCAATCAGCTCGCTCCGCTTCGGCTGGTTAGGTCTCCTGTCACAGCATTATGAAGTACTACTTTAGGGCTCGTGCCTATTGTAGTGACAAATTAGTTTTCAAAGGCTGCTACAGATATCGAACTTCTTCATTCATTCACTCCTATCTGTTTTAGTGTTGTCACGTTCCATTCATATTCAGAAACATGCGCCGAACACCATAATCGGATACTTTTTCTGTCGATTCATCCGGATAATTGCGTGTTACGAGAGCACGTGATGTCATTTTCGTTACTCAACCCAGCTACTACGCCGTGATAAATCCCGCGTATGTAATTTCCGGGTCTTACGGCTAAGGTTTGAGCGATTACTTCAATGCGGCGAGGCGGGTAACCGGGTTAGCGGTGGGCCACCGCCTGTTGTTTTATTGGCCAGTGGCGGCCATTTTCTCGCGAGTGGTCGAGTAG